CCCGGAAGCAGCAGGTACACCACCTGTCGGAACTGGGGCACCAAAGCCTCGTTTATTCGTGGTCATGTGATCTCTGTGTTCGGTGCAGTATTTTGAAACATCTTCGCGTCGGAGGCTCGACACAGCGAAGAAACGCTTTTCAAGCGTCCCATCCCTGCCAGAAACTCGGCCCCCTTCGCGCATGCGCTCTATAGTCATCACAGTATGAGGAGTGCAGAGAACAAGTAACGTCAGAGGTAAACAAGCTTTTATGTTTCTCGTTTACATATTCCACGCTCATGTTTGTAATTAAAGTGCAGAGACATTTTATTAAATATTCCGCTGGCCGACAGGAGGCCTGCGGCTGCTCGCAGCGGTCAGTGAGACTTGTCAGCCTAAGCTGCTTCAGCAGCAGCGAACTGTTAGCTGTGTTAGCTTCTGTATTCACAGTCAATGGAGAGGCGATCCAACTCCGCTGAACTGCACCAGCGCAGAGGACAGCTTTAAACATGCGACTGTATCTTCTCTTACGCTGGTGTCTTTTACTGAAGTGTTCTTTTAAAGTACTTTCCGCTTCGTCCGGTGTCATTCTGTGCTAATATTTAGAGCTAACATTGATAGCATTAGCATCTTAGCCGCTGTCAAATATCTGTTAAGCTAGACAGGGGAGGGACATTTAGAGCGACTGACGACCGAGACAGCCAATAAAATTTAGAGTAGGGGTCCTTAGGAGTCTTCAAGACCAATTATCTTCTTCTACTAAGAAAGCTAAGGAATATTAAGCGGAAAGTCAAAAAATGTCTGTTTCATTCATTACAAACTGTTCGAGTTTAACATTCGCACATTTGTTCAGTCGAAATTCAGACTGCACCCGTGGAAAGCTGATAATAACTACACTAAAAAAAGTTGGGCTGCAACCGTTATCGGAGACGGGCGCAACGTCATCATATGTATGCCGTCATCACGCAATGTGACGTACAGTAGCGTTCGCGACCTTTGACCTTTGTGTGTTCTTGCTTATTTATTTTTTTTAACTTACAACAATAGTTTGCAAAAATAGAAGAAAAAGTTTGAGTTTATTTAGGAATTTGCTTAGTTCAACCTATACTCTGTTTATAAGTTATTAGAATGGACTGCCTTTGAGTTTTTATTCACCTTGTCCGTTTACACTTGTTGTTCCACAAATAATGAAACATAGCAAATAGAATATTTGTATCCAACATTGAAGATAACTGCTGTGCTCCATCAAAACAAAAGAAAATGGCTTAAAAATATTGAACTGTCAAATAAACTCTCCACAGTAAAATGACAGAAAATGCTCACATCAACACTTCCTATGTTTTTGTACCAGATGAAGACACCTCCGGACCGATCAGGCATCACATTTGAAGTCGGAGCCAAGCTAGAAGCTCGAGACCACCACAAGAACTGGTCAGAAGACTCCTCCCACCACCACCTTCCACACACACACACACACACACACACACACACACACACACACACACACACACTTATTCTTTCCCTTAGGGGTCGTCACAGCAGATGATCTGCCTCCATCTCACTGTGTCCCTGCATCCTCCTCTGTTACTCCAACCACCAGCTCCATATTCAACAGCCTTTGCCCAAGATATGCACTCTCGCTCTCCTACACGCATCATAACCACCTCAGCCTTTCCTCCCTGACTCTGAGCCCTCCCTCTGATGCACTAATTTCTAATCCTGTTTATCCTGCTCACTCCTAGTCAACATCTGAACATCTTCAGCTCTGCCTCCTGTACAACCAAACATCACAATGGGCCTCACTACAATCTTTTAAACCTTTCCTTTCACTATTGCTGCTCTCCTTCTGTCACAAATCACCCCGACACTCATGTCCACCCTCCTTGGACTAACACACTCAAAATACCAAAAATTAATTGTTTGTTTTACTGAGCTTCTGCTGTTATGATGTACCCACTCATTCAAGCTTTTAAAGTAAAGTGTGGGTTAGCGACTTCTTAATAGTCCCTTTGTTATGAGTCTGGTCTGTGGAAATCCGATGAGTGGATGATTCATTTAAGTTCCCACAGCAGTTCAGCCAACATACAGGAAACTTTCAGATACTGGTGATGATTTTTTTT